AAATGGTATTTCGTATGGCTAAAGAGTTACCAAAATGGATAGTTTTTAGCAGATTAGCAGTACTTCATTGAAATTGGTGGTGCTTCACTAAAACCACTGGGTAATTCATAATATCACTACCAAAATGCTGTCAACAATGCCCAAAGCCACTCAAAACTCAACAACTCATCCAAAGCTACTCATTAGCCCACTGTGCACCTATAACCCATTAACCAAAAATTACAAATATGCCACTGCACATATATTTTTTTTTTCAATTTTTAGCAGATTTCAACAGTTTTCGCAAATCTAACTTTTTTCCTCTCGTACCAAACTCCCATTTTTTCCTTTGAAAAATCGTTCATCTTCAACCTTTCCCCAAATACACTAAAAATACCCAGAAACCACTATTTTTATTATATTTTCTACACTTCCAGCACTGTTGAACACTTTCCAAACTTGAAGAATATCATGGCTGGGAGACAACACATTGCAGATTCATTTTCTGGGTTATCTTTATGAGCATCAAAGGTTCAAGCTGAAGAGTTAACATCAAAAGCGAGATCAAGCCCTCCACTCACAAGCCCCTCACTCACAAGCCCCCAAAATGATCATCCTTTCTTTCTCTAATCACTACTTTTAAGTTTATTCATTTTATCTTGTTAAAGCTTGAAGGAGACCATTGTGCTTTTTATCTACAAAGTAAGGGTTGCTCATTATAGAGTAGGAGTATTTGTTAAGGATAATTGAGGGCATTTTCATTATTTTTGCTATTATGCTACAATATACTATGTAAAAATGTGCTTCTTAAGTTGTAATTTTTAACCCTCATATATTTTCTATCCTCGCTGCTCCTACAGGAATGTTCACTTCATTTTCACTATTTTTGGTAGTTGTGTAATCATTCCTAGTTCCAATATTTAGCTCTTCTGACTTCGCTAAAGAAGGTTCACTCTCAAACTTTGCTAGAGGCATCAATTTGGCTAGGGATGCTCTATTCCCAAACTTCGCCAAGAAGGTTCATTTCCAAACTTCGTTGGAGAAGCTTTATTCTTGGTCTTCACTGGAGAAACTCTATTTCTCACTTTGTCGAAGAGAGCTCATAATTCGTCCTTACAAGAAGGAGCATCATTATCACCTCACTTTCCCAACTTGGCTAGAAAATTTGTACTTTCAAACTTTGCTAGAGAGTTTGATGCTGACCAACATCATTGGACAAAACAAGACAATCCATGGCATGTAGCCTCTTGCACGTGAAACAAGTGCTGCCAAAATGACCCTTCTCATTTTTTGCGAGTGGTATCCTAGTCAGCCTCCACATCAACTCTACTACTAACTCATCATCCTACATCGCCAGCACACCCCAACAATTTTATGTGTTAGTAGGTATCGCCAATTAGCAATCCTTGGCTCGAGACAATGATATCGTAACACACATGCAGATTACTCATTCTTTATTTTGATGCAATGCCAGACATACACAACAATGCTATACAAGTGCTTCCCATGACAAGTGGACAAACAGGCACAACAATGTATATTTACATCTTCTCCTTTAAAGCATGAGGGAGGTCAGCAAAGCTCTCTAGCCAACCCAACAATATTCAACATGGCCAGCGATCATGAACACACAATCACAAATTGATACATCTTCAATAGTCTATCATGGAGAAGAAACAATATCAAGGCCTATAAGGCTCACATGGATAGATTTCATCCACTATGACTTATTTACCACATCACTTGGACGAAAGGTCCATCTTTGCTGGAATACTTTATCTCGATCAGAAGATCCATCTTTGCTAGAATACTTTATCTTGATTAGAAGATCCATCTTTGTTAGGATACTCCATCTTGGAAAAGAAGTCTTCTTCAACATATTGGGTCCATTACAAATACATCAACATTGTGCTCATTTCATTGTCATTGTCATTGTATAATCTCTAGCAAAATGAGGGCTCAGTGAAGCTTGTTGGTCCTAACCTACAATTATTACAAGGCTATGGAGAGTCTTCATCTTTACCTTATCTCTTGAACAAGTTATCCATGATTGCTAGTTCTCACATTCCTAAGATGGAGGGTTATTGCTTTACTTCACATATTTCACTTGGATGGAACAGTCTACTATGAATTCAATAGCTCGCAACTTATTGCTATGACTCCATCACTATTTAAGTCATTTATCTTTGCTAGACAACTTCTTAATGTCAAGTCAGAAAAGAAAATGAAGAATTGCAAATATTTGCTTGAAAAGCACGTACATGAGAGATTCCCAAAAAAAAAAAAAAAACATAGCTGGAATATTATATTGCCAATATTACTTTCCAATGAAGTTAATGAATGTTCATCCCCAACGTTGCATCTACAACTCCCTGCTCAATTTTTATCAAAATGTTATCCTCTCCATAGTTGGGTCAGTAATATTTTTCAACTATGATGACACAAGTGACATGGCTATGAACAATGCTTGACGCTTTCATTCCCTAATGGAGGAAAATTCCTTACAAGCTCAACCAAGCTGCTAAAGGAGAGCTTTACAAGCAATCACTCTTATTATTGCTATCATCATCACTTTTGCAACATATGGATGGGTCTATTCTTTGACAAAGTCAATCTTCCAAGTCTTGCAAAACATGACCATATTTCTTCAACTCTTTACATAATAAAGATATTGTTGGACAGCATCAAACTCATCCAATTTTTGGCAAAGTTTGGGCATCTTCAACTTCATCAATTATAAGCACGAAGACTTGTTGTCACAGCTCTCCCCGCTTGGGGGGCTAATGTTGATGGATGCTTTTGTAAAAGGCCAAACTTGGACTCGAGTAGTTTCCACGTCACCAAGACCCGCCTTGACCTAAGCACCCATTAATTCCTTCAACGTGCATTTACCAAAAGGCCCAGCAATATTTAATGTTGTAGTACATGGCTAGGCCTAGCAATATTTGATGCTGTAATACATGGTTAAGCCCAACGGTATCTAATGCTCCAGTATATGGCTGCATCGCTAGAAATACATAAAGAAGTCTCATTTCTTTATTATTTCCTTATTTATTAAATTTCATAGTTTTCATCAACTGATCACTATTCCTTTATGCAGGTCATCAATAAACCCATGAATCCAAGCTCACGAGGATATTCATGATAAACTATGGGAGTAGTGGCTTGGCAGGCATGGATGGGTGAACATTGCCTGTCTAGTGAAGTGAGGTATTCGCGCCAACAAAGCTTGGTGCTTGCAATGTTGCTCGACTTCACCAAAAAGGGCTAGGTGGCAAAAACGTGGAAGCAGACTTGATCCCTGTTGAGAGATGAATTTGTATGGCTACGCAACTAATGACGTGTGTGGGTCTACATCAACGAAGGCCTATCATGCTTATTTTGCACATCGGACATGCAATTCCTATTTTCTACTAATTGTTGCAATGGAATCAAATCACCAAAAACAACACTTATTCACTTCACTGGAAACATCGAAGAATACAACTCGCTCCAACATCTATTTTCACTTACATGGCTAGACATAGTTAGATCTATTTTGACGACATGGCTGGGCATTTCTTGACGATCATGTCCTCTACAATGATGTGCACTGCTACATCTTGTGGCTTCCAACAATGGACAAAGAGCCGACTTTGCTGTACATCCTTGGCTCTCATCAATGGACAACAAGTTGCATCTACACAACTCCCAACGACAGACAAAAAGCTAAATTCGCTGTCTCATTTGGCCTCCAACAATGTGCAAAAGGCTACACATATTTCAATAGATCTTTATTACACAAGCTCCCAACAACGGATAAAAGATCAGATCTCTATATATTCTATCTTAGCGGCTTCCGGCAATGGACAAAGAGTCAGCGCAACTCGGTACGATTAGCGTGAGGTCAATAACAGTTGCAACCCTACAATCAACGAGATGGCTACCCTATAACGATAAAAAATCCATCAAGTAGCGGCCAACAGTCCCTTGGTGGTCGCCCATGCATGGTGGTGCGGTGCCCAGTGGGCAACAACAACCAGGACCACCCTCTGACGGTGCGAGTATAATAAGAAGGGCTAGTGTTTGTCAGTGGTGTCACCCCTTGTCGTATCAAAGGCCATGGATACAATTAGCATCCCTCTTCTGTGGAGACAACTCCACCCTTCTCTATACATATTTATCTCTGTGGCGGAGTCTAGTTTAATGAGATTTACCCTTTCGCGACTTGATAGATTAATGGGAGTGCTTTTCCGATTCCACACGGTTTACGCTCCAGCCATGGGCAAAGCTGGGGCAAAAGCCTAAGAATAGCCCCTTACCTTGATAAGTTGGACGGTTTTGGCCCCTCACCTTATAATATAACGGTTTTAACCCCTAACCTATAAGAATGGAAGCAAATAGCCCTTTTTTGTAACTTCCGTTAGTTGAGCTGTTACC